TCACGAGCGTGTTTACACAAATAATGGCACCACTTGATAATAATGTCGGCCAATTATTCCCGGGAATGTTTTCCGCCGCGGCATGTCCCTCTCCCTGAGTAAGTTGTAGCCTTTGTGTCCACTCGTGCTCAGCAAACCTGCTGAGTTGTACGGTGTTAATCATCAAATTACATGCTGACTAATGAGTGATGGCCTAAATTGCAGGCTGAGTAATGAATAGATGGAGGCAGTTCTTATTAGTCTCAGAAAACCCATTGATTTATGTAGCGCCATGCACTGCGGAGTTAGTCTGCTGAAAACGATATCTACATCAAGAAGTAATATACTCTAATAAGTATTTTCATCTTAACTCTGGTCGTTGGGCCTCCAGGCTCAGTTTTTGTTTGAGTCAGGCAGAGCTATAATAAAGCCCTATGACTCCTTATAAAGCTTGTTAAACACAATGTGTGCAGTCTAACTGAGTCAGGATCATGATTCATGCACTGTACACAGCAGCATGTGCTGCTGATTTATGACCAAGCACAGTTCATAGTCAAAATTACAATTTGAGGGATAAAAAGATTAATTACTATTTGTGGCCTGCAATTTCATGAGGCTAGTGGATTGCAGCTGTAGAATGATAGTGCTCTACATCAGTTTGTAGTCAGCCATTCACAGATTATTAAAGCTTTGCAAGATTAAGTGCTCCTCCTGCCTGGTTTGTGCTCAGGCAATATGCTAGACAAAAAAGGACCACAGGGATAAATCTGAAGCTAGCAATAGCTGGACATATGTCATAATTGCCAGTTTCCCATAAATCCACAGCCAGTATAGAAAGCAGCCCGTGATGCAGACATCATATCATGACTGCAGTGATTGCTATATATGGCCCCAAGACCTGTAACTTTGTTACTGTGCTATTATTTCTGCAATATATTGGATAACCCTTTGACTATTTTCCAGTCTAATTATAAATAGAGTAATCATTGCTTTGCAAAGGGGGGAAAAATAGAAAAACCTCTTCCTCAGGACAGGTCGTAAAAGAAGGTTTGTGGCTGGGATAAGGCCTGAGGAGAAAAATTGCACACTGGGTGTGGGTTTGTGCTCCCAAACAGTTGCTGGGTTGTGGATCTGTATTCAAAGACACCCCTGAAATCTCCTCCTGTGTTTCCGTTCCAGCGCTGAACGAACCGACCATAGATTACGGATTTCAGAGGTTGCAGAAAGTTATCCCACGACATCCAGGTGATCCCGAAAGGTTACCAAAGGTGAGTGGAGAGCCAAAAATATTCTTTTGTTTGAATAAAACATGTGCTTCTCACACTGCCATACACTGCCTGCCACATGTGAAACAGCACCAGGGACTCTGACTGGTGACCAACTTCTTGGGTAGGTACATCCAGCTGCAAAATCAAGCGACTTGTGCTCTTAGGTTTGACCCTTTTCCCGCATTAATTCTTTGCCATTAAGCTAATAGACAGTTTTTAAGATCACACCTGATACTTGCAGGGGAGTATTTTAAAGGAGGAGAATGGATTTTCTGATACAAATATTTTGGATTCTACAAGAGGGACATAAACTTCCTGCGTAATGAAATAGTTCAATTAAACATTTTCCACTCCAGTAGCTTGTAGTGATTTCAATCTAAGCAGCCCCACTCTGATCTGTGATTATTTGACTCTTGTTTTCCTTTCATTTTCTAAAGCTCGATTCAGTTTAATCTTTTGTTTACAAAGCTTTTGTTATAAGTCCCTGACTTAGCAGGCTAACAAATGAAGTCCACATATTAATATCTAGAGGGACTTTTCATTTAAATTCAACAAAGACAAAAGCTGCCTGTGTTGTTTATGCACATGACATGTATCACAGAAATTTCATTTTGATGTAAAACATTAAAGATAAGTCATGCCTATAATTTTCCCTTTTTCTTTGATATAATATTGTCTCTTTTCCTTCAGCACAATCTCTGATTTTCAAGGCAAACTTGAAAACACGAATGAAAAATGAAGTCGTAACATTATGACTGATTATTTTGCATTCTGTTCCTGCGTGCATCAAGTCTTGACCACCTCTGAGTTTTATTAACACAATAAAACCTTTTAGACGTTACCTTTTAATGCTCAGCATGAACATAAGCAATATCATTAGGTTTCTCTTTTAATTTGTGAGCGTGCCAGCAACTCATATCAGATATTCACTGTCACAATAATTGGAGGCAGACGGGAAGATTTTTCAAGTGCAGAGTGTTTCGCTCAGGGGTTTTTGCTCCTGCAGGTTGAGCTCCAGCAGAACAAGGTTTTAGCTCCAGAAGAACTGGAGCCATCAATATCCTCACCCATAGGGCCCTGGCTGACAGCATTGCAACCTCTGGGTTGATGTAGGTGCTTCTTGCCTTCCAATGTGTATGATTAGGTAGATATGCTCATATTTATCTATGAATATTGTTACCACCCTCCGTCTAAAGGTCCATGTAAACATGCAGCCATTTCCACCAGGAACCTCCTGACAATACATTCATAGC